ACCCAAAACCTCTTGAGATCACCGAAAGTTTTCACTTTGGCACTCGTAAACAGAAGCCAGGCGAGTCAGTGAATGATTTCATCGTGTCACTTAAACAACTGTCCATACATTGTAATTACGGAGGATTTCTCAACCGAGCACTAAGAGACCGATTTGTTTGTGGTCTCAACAATTTCAAGATACAGAATAAGCTACTAAACACCGCTGATTTAACCTTTGACCAAGCTTGTCAAATTGCTAAAGCAATGGAAATGGCAGAAAGAAACACACAGGAGTTGCACCCCATTGCAGGAGAGCTCGCTCAAGGAACAGTCCATAAAATAGCAACCACAAAAGAGAACATTAAGGAACAAGTAATTGCCAAAAATGCATACTCATGTTATAGATGTGGAGGCAAACACAACTCGAATAACTGTAAGTTTAAAAATGCTAAATGTTTTAAATGTCAAAAAATGGGCATATCGCCTCAGTATGTAAGAGTGATGAGAGTAAGACAACATCAAGCCAACATGTTGGAAATATTCATAATGTATGTAATGAGGAGGGGGAAGAGATTGATGAGTTAGGCATATTTTCTGTAGAGACGGTCATGTGTGAGCATAAGTCCAGGCAAGTACAAAGTGAATATGTCCCTGAATGGATGTATGTGCGAATTGGAGGTCGATACAGCAGCTGACCGTTCTATTATGAGTAAAAGTACTTATATGCAGAATTTTAGTAGATTTTCYCTTTTACCCTCGAGCGCAAAACTGAGAACGTATACTGGTGAAACACTGAGTGTGTGTGGGAAAATGGTGTGTGATGTAATGTACAAAGATCAGAGATACTCACTTCCCATACTAGTGGCAAATTATGAAGGGAAACCCACCCTGTTAGGGAGGGACTGGCTTAGTGTTGTGAAGTTTAAGTGGGAAGAAATATTTCATATCCAGTCATCAAGAACCTCTGTACCAGCAGAGCAGTTTGACATCTTACTTTCCAAACATAAGGTTTTGTTTGAAGAGAGTTATGAAGGCCTTCAGGGTTTTGAAGCTCATATAACAATGAAAGATGGTGCCAAACCTATATTTTGTAAGCCAAGAAAGGTCGGTTATCCTCTAAAACAAGCTGTTGAAAATGAACTGGAGAAGCTTGAAAAACATGGAGTTATAAAAAAAATTGAAAGGTCAGACTGGGCTAGTCCCATAGTGGTTGTACCTAAAGCAGACAAATCTGTAAGAATTTGTGGGGACTATAAAGTCACGATCAACCAGTCTGTTGAGGATGAAGAATACCCTCTACCAACCACACAGGATTTGTACACTGCCCTTAGTGGTTCTAAGGTTTTCAGTAAGTTAGATTTGTCACATGCTTATGCTCAACTTAGTGTAGATAAACAGAGTCAWGAATACTTGACCATAAATACTCACRAAGGACTTTACTCATATACTAAGCTTCCTTATGGAGTAAAGTCTGCCCCGAAAATCTTTCAGAAAAAAATGGATCAAATCTTGCAAGGAATAGAAAAATGTGTATGTAAGCAAGATGACATACTCATCGGTGGGACAGATCCACAAGAAAACCTAAAAATTCTTTCAATGTTCACTTAAAAAGGTCCAAATGTGAGTTTTTGAAATCTGAAGTARTTTATTTAGGCTTAAAAATAAGTGCAGCTGGCTTGCAGCCTGTTGAGGAAAAAGTTGAGGCRGTGAVGAAGGCACCAGTTCCMAAGGATGTCAGCGAGTTAAGGTCATTTCTAGGAATGATTCAGTATTACCACTCTTTTCTCCCGAGTTTAGCTAGCACATTAGCATCCCTTCATGAGCTGTTAAAGAAAGATGTTCCTTGGGTGTGGACTGACAAGTGTCAAAAGGCTTACGATGCATGTAAGCAAGGTTTRACAAGTGATTCCCTGCTTGTCCATTATGAGCTTACCAGGGAGTTGCGTTTGGCATGTGATGCTTCTAGTTATGGGCTTGGGGCAGTTATAAGTCATGTKATGGATGATGGGAGGGAAAGACCCATTGCATATGCCTCCAGAACCTTGTCTTCTAGTGAGAAAAACTATGCTCAAATAGAACGAGAGGCATTAGCAATTAYATTTGGGGTCAAGAAATTCCATCAGTACTTATATGGCCGCAAATTCACTTTAGTCACTGACCATAAACCACTGCTGTCAATTTTGGGCCCCAAATCGGCCATACCTACTTTGGCTGCTGCCAGGATGCAGAGATGGGCATTGGTCCTCTCAGCATATGATTATGAAATCATATTCAAACGATCTGAAGATCATGCTAATTGTGATGCTCTATCTCGACTGCCTTACCAAGACTCAACTTTAGGTAGTGAAAGCGCGATCTATAATGTCAGTGCAATTGAGGATGAATTTCCCGTTGAGGCGAAAGACATTGCCAAAGCAAATCAGTGTGATACAGTGTTGAGAAAGGTTTTTCACTTTGTTATGACTGGTTGGCCAGAGAAATGTGAAGATGAGGAAATCAAACTATATTATAATCGGAGACTTGAGTTGTCTTGTGAGCAACATTGTGTTCTGTGGGGATCAAGAGTGATCATTCCTTTGGTTTTAAGGAATAAAATGTTGAAAGAGTTGCATTGGGAGCATCCTGGAATTTGTGGGATGAAGGCAATTGCCCGCACTTGTGTGTGGTGGCCTAAAATGGATRAAGAAATAGAGGAGACAGTAAAGTGCTGCACTGTATGTCAGAATGTTAGAAGTGCTCCACCATGCGCACCATTAATCCCATGGAAATGGCCGAATAGAGCATTTCAGAGAGTTCACATTGATTTCTGTCAAAAGGATAATGATTATCTTTTTGTGTTAGTGGACAGTCACTCAAAGTGGATAGAGGWKAAACATATGACCTCTACTAAAGTAGAGAAAACCATAGATGAGTTACGTTTAATTTTTGMCACTCATGGTTTGCCTGAGGAAGTAGTTTCAGACAATGGCCCTCAGTTTGTGTCTTATGAGTTTACAAAATTCAAAAATGCACAAAAATGGAATTAAGCATACTTTAGTTCCCCCTTACCACCCACAATCGAATGGAGCAGCAGAGAGGTCTGTCAGAGTCTTTGACCAAGCAGGTGCTCGAAGGGAAAAAGGGATTGTCCATGAAGCACAGACTAGCTAATTTTCTTTTGAGATATCGCACCACTCCGCACAGCACCACAGGGGTTACTCCTGCTGAATTTATGGTTAAAAGACAACTAAGAACTATTTTTATTTATGTTAGAATAATATTATTTAGGCAATTATTGAGCCTGGGTTACCTGTGGCCGGGTTTCCTAACCATCTCCCTCTATTAACTATACTATAGGTGATGAGCTTGCCACAAGCAGTTAAGGTCCATCGTAAGGAAATATACTTTTCAGTGTTTTGAAGCGAAAATCCAAGGGTAATTAGTGAAACTTGAGAGATTGAAAGACAATCATAATAGACATAACCTTTAGGTGTTTTGGTCATACAACCAGTCACGTGGGACCAACTAAAGCATGCGGTCCCAAGTTTCAAAGCAACAAGATTGCTCATACTGATTTTTGGAATAAGAATTCTTTCCCAAAGGTATTTTCAAATCTGCTTGGAAAACCTGCTTTTGACTTGTCTTCTTGGAATAGGTCACCAATAGGTCATCAAAAATATCTTCTTAAAGATAATATACATTTCAATTTTCCAAACGGCAATTTGGATGGACTTGAATTGCGAGTTTCAAATATGAATCCCTATTTCCATCAAATGTCGATATTTCTAGCTTTGCTAGCTTGGCTTGACTCGGTTGTTTCGTTGGTTCTAACTTCTTTCTATATATTCCCCAGTAGAGCTGCCTTAATACATTTCAAAAATGGCAAAAATAATAATCCGCAACAACGGATTATATCAAGTTGAAAAGCGCAACGAGTATTCAGTTAATTAAATTATTTTAATAACAAGACAATCGCATTCAGTAAACAAGACCACGGACGAATCGCTATCTTTCCTGCCATCCCTATCAGTAATTCCATTGTCTCAAGAATTCCATATATTGATCAATTCCATTTTTAATGAACCGAAAACCTCATTTGTTGGGAACACTCTACAACTTCAMCTGACTCCCCAGCAACACATAAAACGACCGTTAATAGACCGCAATCTCAGCAAATGAAAGCGTTTCACATTTCTCTAGCTGCGTTAAACTAGATCCTGACATAATTCTATCTGACACCATACGTGATAAGTTCCAGCTGCAGTTTCTATAGAAGACATGGAAACTGTGGAGGCCATACAGACAGAGGGACGCCTCTCTGACAGTATATTAGAGGGCAACTAACAGAGCTACAAGACAAGTTCGACAAACTTGAGAGAGCCGAAGTCCTCAAAAACGGTGAAGATCACTGGAAAAAATCGCGCGCTTTATAGGTTGTAAATTTGATGTAAATATTATGTAAGTGTCCAAAATGATGTAAATTTGATGTAAATTTACATCAAATTTAAGCATCAAATTTACATCAAATTTACATCATTTTGGACACTTACATATTAATATTTACATCAAATTTACAACCTTTTAAARTGAACGATTTTTTCCAGTGGATATTGTAGCAACTGTTTAACATCTTAACCCGTCTTCCTTTTGAAGAGAAAGCCAATAGCCATCCGGACTCGTCTCCCCCATGACGTTGGTTAATACAGCAAATCTCAACTGTCACTATGAACTACACTAAAGAGAGCATGTACACGCGAAGAACGCCTTGTTCATTGTTGTTTCTCATGCTCGTCATTGTTGTTCACATATTAAATCTTTTCTTTCGATACATGTGTCATTGTTGTTCACATATTAAATCYTTTCTTTCGATACATGTGTACAATTTATACTTATATCTGTGGCATAAAAATTTAAAATCAACCCTCAGGATTTTCAGCAACGTCTACTGTAAGTTTTTCAAAAGATTTCAAGGGCCGCCTTGTAAAATAAACTTGTTAAAATTTCTGCTGGAAAAACGCAGAAAAACAGGCAACACCTTACCTGCCGAGGCTCCTGCAGCACCAATCAACACAGCAGGGATGGTCATGATAACACAGCCGAAGGCTCCAGCAAACGAAAGGATCTGAGCTACTTTTTCGTTTTTACAGGCTAAAACTCTTTGGAAGTACACCTGCCACGGTACACCACCAAATACCTCAAAGCAAAATTTATGATATTATTAATACAATTATTGACAACTACACCACAACTATAACACTAAAGAAGACCGGCTGTTTGGATTGTCAATGACAATAAAATACTTGTATATATTATGTGAAATAAAATGTTGTTGCCACAACTACCCACAAGTCACATACGATTCGAGCACATACGAGAACATACGGCTTTCATACGGCCTACATACAACTAATCAAGCCGCCAATACACCTCGAAAATTGTTACTATACCGTGGACATGAATCTGTATGTAGCTGCAATCTTTGTTCAGATATATCTAATTTCGATAAAAAAAATCTATAAAGTGAAAATATTGAACTTGAACTTGAAATTTAATAAATATGCGTCCATAACACATTAAAATATCATGCTGATATAGAGGATATAATATGGGCACGCGGATTTTATCTACGAGTGCTGAAAATTAAAAATCTCTCACGAGTGAGCGTAGCGAATAATATTTAATGATGATAATGATCGTACCAAGAGAAAGGCGTGGTCAATCCAGTAGCCATAGTTGACGGGCCACTCTCCCAACCACTTTGGAGCTGTAATTTCGATGTTGGTGACAGCATCATGACTCAACGCAAAGGGAATACTTAGCCACTAAAGGAAAGAATGGACTTAATAGACAAATGCAAAAAAGCATGTATTAATTATTGTGATTTTCTCATATATTCACTTAATGAAGTTCAGGAAACGTAAAACATCGCATATTTAAAAAACCTTTTGTCACAGAATTTTATACAGTTGAATCTCCCGTAAGAAGACATCCTTTTGAATCGAAAAAAGTGTCCCGTGTTGGTATAGACGTCCACCAAAAAGAAAATGTGAACACAGTGTTTATATGGAAGAAATATATAATCGGGATTTTAGAAAGCTGTCCGTAATTAGAGCTGTCCGTTTATGAGAGCGTCCGCAAGTGGAGATTTACTATATTTTCATGAAATCGTTTTCCATTTTGTAAGGCAAAGCTGTAAAATTAACTGTCTATTAGTAAACATGTAAACGAGCTTGCATTCTTACCAAACCAACAAAGATGCAAATCAGCTGAATGACGTCAGTGTAAGCAACCGAGTAAAGCCCTCCAATTAGAGTGTAACAAACTGCGATGCACGATGACACAATGATTGACAATGTTTTACCCAGCCCAATGACAACACTGACTGTTGCACCAAGAGCAGACAAGATGGCTGCGCTCCAGAAGATCTCTCCCATTAGAGCTGGAAAGTACATGATACTACCGATATGCTTCCCGTATCGTTCTTGGAAAGGATCAATCATTGTCACGTACTTTCTCTTTCGCATGATTTTAGCGAAGAACAGGCCACCTGTAAAATTTTTGTAATAATTCTTAATAGCTTAAAAAGTACTCACTTTGACAATTCAGTTGAAGTCCCGACAATTTTACTCTTATATATATCACTCGATATTTAAGTCGGCTTTGAACGAATCGGGGTGCTTTTACAGATTTTCAAAAAATTAAGCTCCAAGTTATAAAATCATCTTAAAGGTTGAATTAATTGAGTAACATGGACGTTTACCCCTTTTCTTTTGTACGTTATAAGTTTAGACTACAATGTCCCCTACATGTGGATTCTCAATTCTCCCTCCTGATAATTATTGCGCAGTCGACCCTTAATGATATCTGGCATTTCATGTGATTTCTTACCAATTGCAAGGCTGGTGGCATATCCCCATGGCGCTTGAGCTGATACCAAGCCCTTGTCGTAGACAGCTTCAGCAGTACCATTGATGTATCCTCCGCCAACCCATGTCGCTAAAAGTCAATAGGAAAATTAGAATAAAATTACATGAGAGGAATCAAATACTAATCTCAAGAAAATTATGTGAAAAAGAAGTAAAATTTTCAAGTGAAATAAAGATGATAATTGACGACACAACAGTGTGGAACCATTTAGATATCCAAAGAAATAATTTGCAGACAACCATTGTARTATAGTGTATAACATTAATAACTATTTCAAGAAAAATCAATCTGTCTGATTTGAAAAGACCTTGARAAATAGAAAACTACTGCTGGAATACTCCTTTTAAGTTCTTTTTATCGTATTACATTTGTGCAAAACAATCATTTATGATAAGTGTTGTGATCCTTTGTTTGGTGTAATATCATAATGCTAAACCATTTCTGTGGAGTCAGCGATGTTATTTCAGAATGCTCCCATTTTACTTTATTACTCATAAGTTGTCCTTTTCCCAGCATGTTGTTTCTGTTCTGCCGGATCTTCCTGTACAAAACAGTGTACTCGTGCGCTCTTAAATTTCCTGCACGGCCCGAAGGGCGGAAAAAAAAAATTCCTGCAAGGCAAAATTTTGAAAAATCTCCACTAAAGCTTTTTGATAAGAGTTTTCAAGATAAACACAAGAAGCCTCATTCTTATTTATTTTTCTCCAGTCCAAAATTTGTGACCCTCCCCTAAATCTCATTTGAAAAAATTCAACCCTCCCCAAACACACATCCAAAAATATGTGGCTCTCTCCATAAATTTAGTGCCCCCCCTCTAGTTTTTGCGAGATATCACATGATTCAAACGTTCAAAATATTACAATACTGACAAAACTGCAAAGATTGTACCGTTTCTGTTGTTTATGTGACCTTTCAGGTTACATTTATTTAAATCTCACGGAATTTGCATATTTTGAATAATATAGACGCTCTTAGAGCGTAAAGTCGTGCTAGCTATTTTGAAAACTGGGAAAGACAGGATATTCAAAGAAGTTACTCAGAGTTCAGTTCGGTAAAATATTATAATTTAGTAAATAACTTATATTTACTTAATTCTGTCTTGACTTATTTCAAACAAAGACTATATCATGAAAATGAAATACTTATAACCCATTGTCGCAGCTACTGGAAGCCCACGCATCCATGATCTTCTAGTTAAATATCGTCTCTTAACCCTTTCTCACACAGAGCGGTGCTAGTGTAAATTATACGATGTTGTTCAGACAAGTACAATAGTTACCCGTCAGAGTAAAGCTTCCTAGAAAAACTCCAATATTACGACCAGCTAGTATGGTTTCTTCTTCGCCCTCTTTCCTCCTTCTAGAAGCCCAGATTCCAAGACCAAGAATAATGAGATAAAACAGCACGATACCCACTACACCAACCACGTAAACCATCTTGATCAATCTAATGAATATCTCTCCTAAGTAGAAAAACAAGTCAGTTTTTTGTCGTATAAGATATCATTCAAGGGTTTTCATATGAGGTGAAATATAAAGCTTTTTATGCAGCTAAACTACATTTTACAGAAACAGAAAATAGCAAATAGAGTAGTAGAAAAGCCATCGGCCAGTACTTTCAGTAGTTTTTGAGAAGCGCATTCATTGTTGGACAACAAAATTCACGCATGACCACACGTCCACATTTATCAAACAATTCAAGTTGACACAAATTGGAGAGTTAAACGAGACCTGTAAGATGAAGTTTGACTTGAATTCTATCTCATAAAGAGTAGTAACAGAAGGACTGACATGAAGAATGAACGAAGTCTATCGGGAGTGACGTCATAGATCATTCATTCAACACGACTCAGTTGACGAGCATAAAACCAATCTATACGTTTGAAATTAATGATTCTTTCAGAATAGGAATTCAACTAGAATTATTTGACATTGATTTCACAATGTATCTTTGTTATTTTGCGAGACTTTCACTACAAAACAAAATGGTGTCAAAAACGTTACCTCAACTATTCTCAAATGTCTCAGGACCACTAGAACAGGAACTTTAATCTTAGCAAAATGACGAGCGAAATTAAACATTACACTCGTATAAACAAACAATATATACGATAGAAGAGAATTAAGGACCTTCAACTATTCACTTACTATATGTCCAACAGTATTGTAAACTTAAGACAAACTTGACGCTCTTAGAGCGTGAAGTCGGGCTAGCTATTTTATTACTGACTATTTTAGTATTGGCGAACGAGTGAAATATTCTGCCTATCACATGAATAAATCCTTGCTTTGACTGATAAAATCAAACACGGTAGACTAAATGTCGCTAAGTGATATCATGATATCTAATACGTTTTTTTTAATTAAAAGTCAAATTGACCTCTCAGGTCAAGAAAAGAAATACTTTACAAAGTAAAAGAAAATAAATACTTTACAAAATAAAAGATGGCTATAAAATAATCAAAGTTGTCTTTTTGTTATTGATAAACAAAGTTTCTTCTTATTCTAACTTGAAACCTCTGCCAAGACAAGACACATCTAAAGCTAGAAAGGTTATTGATTCAATTTCGTAAGCACACTACTCGAAGCTACATGCGATTTGCACATGCGCGTGCTTCTAATGATAAGAAATGCATTCCGATAAGATCACAGATACCACATTTGTAAACGAATGATTTTTTTTTGAATGTTGGTAAATATATAACATTTGAGCTTCCGGTCTTGTAAGAACATGGCCAACCCAGTAGTTGATCATTAAATACTTCCGGTTTCTACGACTCGAATTCTTGACTTCCGATGGTCCAAACGCGACATGATAGATTGGCAAAAAGGTAAAACTTAAGTTGGCTAGCCCTAGGTCGCCTAGGCTCAACAGTTGTGTTGCTTTCACGCCGGTGTCAAAGTATTGCGTGGTTCGCGGTTCGAGCCCTCGTGAAGCCGTTAGTTTTTTCTCCTTCATTTCTTGAGACTTTTCAAGACTCCTTTATATATGTACCCCATGAGTAGATTTACGACAGCAAAATCTTAACTCTTTGATATCATATATATAACTAGCTCTACACTTTATGTGTATTGAGAACTCTTTAATGGGATCAGCTACTTCCTCATGCGATTATAAACAGTTTTATGAATAAAGATTGATTTTTAAAGCCATTTTTATATCCCCCCCCCTCCCCCCTCGTAAATAATATAATAATATGTGGCGAAGTGGGCAGAGTCCGGGAACGGTAAGTTCCACGTAGTGGTTCTCGTTTAAACCTGGAAAGAAAAGGAAAACTTACCTTAAAATTCACGGAAAATAGTCAGAAACGTGTTCGAGACGTCTACTCCTTCGACAGTCTTGTTTCAGTGATCTATGAAGTCACTCCCGACAGGCTTTGTTCATTCTTCATGGCAGTCCAAAGGTTACGGTTTATGAGATAGAACTCAATTTAAACTCGTTAAACAAAGTATTAAACAACATTGTTAACCTAACCTGTTCATTATGGAATGTGATGTTACATATCACGTGATATTTGACTCAAAGAAAATCATAAAGATAAAAACTCTACACAACATTGTTGATGTGTAATGTTTCAAATGTCATAACGGAATGTGATATCCTTTATCATGTGATTACTCGATTATGAAGTCCGAAAAAGCTTTCTAAAAACGTCTGATTCCTTGATAAACTACAATATTGCTGAAAATACAAATGGTTGAAAATGGAACAAAAATCTTTCAATGGAACTCAATACGCGCAAGTGAAGTATCTCAAAAATGAGATATAGCAATACATTTACTTTTTTTATTTAACTTTTTAAGGAAGTCTAGTAGACTGCCGACCAGGCATTTAAATACAAACGTTTCTTTTTCCTTTGTCAAATGGCTACATCACTTGCACTTGCAATTCTTTAAAAAAATCTTGATTATAAAATCTTCTTCTAGTGTTTTGAATGTCGTCTGAACAAGGTCGCCAGAACTGAAATTATGACCCATAAGATCGACAAGTTGCTTAATTTATCCAACTTAAGATAGTCGATAATAAATAAAGCTTTACTTATCTGAAATATGTACTGAATATGTCGTCTTAGTACGCCTACTCAAAGCACTTGATTTTACAAAATTCATTCATATGATCATTACTCAAACTCTCAAACGGTTGTTGCCGAATTTAATACCGCTGTACTTGTATTGTTAGATAACAGAATTTGAGAGATTTATTATTTGAATTTCTCATGACCTTGTATTTTTCGATAAATGTTGATATTAGAGACCTAGACTGTTTTGACTAATGTTAGTTATATGTAGTTTCATGTGTGGTACAACCTCCTATAGTTAAGACCGCCATCGCTTTAGTTTTGACTAGCATTTGATGGAAACAGGATATTGGATTAGGTTTAGAATTATAAAAGGACTGACGTTATAGCACTCGAAACTCACTACTCATCTCATTGTCCCTATTACGGGCCAAGACTGGGGTTGTAGTCTAGATCGTATTGGAAAGTACAAACCAAAGTATGGAAAGTGCTTGAGTTTGGAAGCCCTACTGTACAAGCACTCCGACAGCGGAAAGTACCTCAGAAAGTCAAGACAAACAGAGGTCGGTACCACTAGTGAGTAGAACATCTACCGAGCCCTTAGAGTNAAGTGTACGTTCTTCTTATCATCAATAAAGACATATTATTTCTTAATTTTTCTCAAAAACAGCCGAACTCACGGCCTAATAAGAGCGTCTAGTTCAAAATATCCCAACTCTCTTGAGACTAAAATAAACTTGACCTAAAAGGTCATGTAATTAATAGTAATGAAGGTTTTAAAAGAGTCCTTGCTTTCACTGATAAAATCAAACGGAACGTGCTATATAGAGATCTGAAGTGACGCTAAGTAGTCTAGTCGGTAGAGAGGGTCACGAGCACCCAAAAGATATACTTGGCTAAAATACATAAATATAATCTTCAGAAGGTGTACATTAAGGATATCAATGTTCCCAAATCAAACTCTTGTCCCATGACCTTGAAAAACGGGGATGAACTTTTGACACAAAAAGCACAGGGTACCCAATTCTAGTTTTTTTGAAAAAACCGTTTTAAGCTTCACAAAATTGTTGATATCCTACCTTTTGAAGCTAGTTATCTTCAGTTACCTTAAAGCAACCTTTAGATTGGAGAATGGTGCAAATTTCTAGTCTTGATTTAAAAATATCGCATAATTTCCATCTGAATGATGCAAAAAATTTATTAAATTGACCTAGAAATAAATACATTCTTGAAAGCAAGCATTTTGTCAACAGTTTATTTTCTTGAATTATCTTTGTCTTCTTTTATCTTTAATGATCGAGTTTTAAGCTTTATTGGCCCTGCCAGATCGAATTTTACACATAAAGCACAGGGAACCCAAAGATTTTTGTTCTTTTGAAAATTGATTTAATTCCACCAAAATGCTAAGGTGGGAGTATTCTCTCAGAATCTAGAAAGAAAAACACAACTCTACTCGTCATAATCGCTAAACCCATCTTCAAATTCGACCCTATTACTATCCCCTTCTTCTACTTCGTCTTCTTCTGTTACTTCAATTTTAAAAATCAACAAGTGCAATGGGAAGTATATTGGACCATACAGGTTCCAACAGACCATGCATTCTTCTTCTTCTCCAAAGCCCTGGTCATCTTCAAAACGATTTGGTTGCCAAACAAATTGGTTGATCTGCCCTTTTGTAGTTAGCAACTCTGTGATTGACGCATTGGAGGTGTGACATGAGGCTATCACGGCATGGTTAAGGCGAGTGAAAGATCGAAGTACCGAAGCAGCTCAGGCAGCAAAGTATTTGATCGGATCCTTACCAAAATGGGGCATTTCACTATCGATAACTATACTAATGGCCCTGTTGTGTCAAAGGATCTCACACAAAGGTTAAAGCATGTGGCCCATGTACCTCAGAAAGTCAAGACAAACAGAGGTCGGTACCACTAGTGAGTAGAACATCTACCGAGCCCTTAGAGTTGGTTTGTGTCGACTATATTTTGAAGTTGGAGAAATCTAAAGGTGGATGGGAAAATGTTTTAGTCATCACGGATCACTTTACTAGATATGCGCAAACCAAACCAACTAAAAACCAGACAGCACTAATAACTGCTAAGAAGCTGTTTGATACCTATATAGTCCACTACAGTTTTCCATCTAGACTTCACAGTGACCAGGGTAGCCGAAACTTTAGTCCAAGAGCTTTGTAAGATTGCAGGGGTAGAGAAAATCTCGGACAACCCATTATCATCGTATGGGGAATGGGATGATCGAGAGGTTCAATCGCACCCTACTGGGCATGTTGGGGACTCTGCCAGATCTCCAGAAGACAAATTGGAAAAACTATGTGGCACCTTAAGTACATGCATACAACTCAACGATCAACGAGTCTAGTGGCTTTTCTCCTTTCTATATATTTAATGTTTGGACATGAACCTCGTCTACCTGTGGATGTCGAGATTGGATTGACCCCTCATACTACATGTTCAGGGAGATTTGTTGATAACCTTAGACAGAGACTCAGAAAAGCACATGATTTGGCTAAGACGATTTGACGTCTAGCTGAGAAACAAGCGTTATTATGATTTAAAGAAAAGAGAAGCACGGCTGGAACAAGGGGATAAAGTCTTAGTTAGTATAGTGAATTGCACACGGGCTGGAAAACTTGATAACAAGTGAGAGCAACATGTGTATGTGATTAAACTATAACCCGAATGAAAGTATTCCAGTTTATTATAGACTTGTTCGAGAGGATGGTAAGGGTAGAACAAGGACCTTGTACTGGAACCTGTCTGATTTTACCATGCCGATTGTTGATTCCCTACGCTTCTCTCGTGCTTTCCCTACATCCCGCGTGTTTTGATCAGAGTATCAAACACGGAATTTCGTCTTTTATTCCTTAATTCATACTAACTCGAAGTTTAACAAATTCGAAGTCCAACTCGATATTTGTGTCAACTCGAACTCGAAATCCAACTCGACGTTTCTGGAATCCCATATCGGATAAGTAAAACTTCATTTATTATCGACTATCTTAAGTTGGATAAATTAATTAAGAAACTTGTCCATCTTATTGATAATCATTTCAGTTCTGGAGCCCTTGCAGCTCTTGACTTATCGATCTTAWAGCGGAGCTTCCGCGCGGGCCTAAGGCCCGCGCGAGCGGAGCACCATAACTAAGGAAAAATGGTATACCCATGGGGCAGAGTTTTGATCAACTGACACAGGAAGCCCAGTTGTCCTTCTGTACATACGGCGTACGTACGTCCATGTACAAGTTTTATTTTGTAAATAAACTAAATGATGTTTTTAATAGAAAGATTAATGTAACA